TAACACTCCATGTTTCCACCTCCATCTACAGTAAAAATCACTGGAAAAATGTTTTCCCTCTTTTCTTCTTCTCCCACGCTTTCTAAAAGCTACTCCAGTCAGGCTTCCAAGCAAACTACTCTCCTGAAATAAGTTTCAACAAGATTACCAATGATTTTCTCTAAATCCAAAGGTCAACCAACCTTCAGGATTCATCCTCATTGAAAAATCAGCAACATTTAACAAAGTTAATCATTCTCATCTTGCAAAAACATTTTCATCAGTTAGTTTGGTTTTCTTCCCTTCTCTGACCACTCCTTTTATCTCCTTGCTGATTTCTTCTCTTCTCCCCAATATTTGGATTTCTTTTTCCAATTATAGTCACTCAGATTTTCTACTTCTTTTTTCCAAATATATTCACTCTTGTAGCACTCACATCAAATTTACCATCAATATACTTGATGACTCTCAATTTATATTTCCATGCTAGGTTCTTTCCTGAACTCCACGCTCATATATCCAACTGCCTACTCAACAGCTTCATTTTTATGTCTCGCAGGCATCTCAAAACTAACATGGCCAAAATTGAAATCATCTGTCACACAAACACTCATTTCTCATGCAGACTTCCCCATCTCAGTAAATGGCAACTCAATTCTTCCAGTTCTATCTTTTTTAGGCAAAAACTTAGGAACATCCTAGATTTCCTCATCTTATACACTTCATACATAATCCCATGAGCAAAACCTGTCAGCTTCCTTTCAAAACATATTCAGAATTAAACCCTTCTCATCCTCCCATGCTACTATTCTGATCCAAGCCATAATCACCTCTTGCCTGGCTTACTGCAGAAACCATTCACGTCACCTTAGTCTATTCCTCAAGAGAGATAGTTATCTTTTAAAAATATGTCATGTCGCTTCTCTGCTCAAAACTCTCCAATGCTTTCACATTTCACTAAAGAGATTTAAAAAGCCAAAGTCCTTACAATAAACTTTAAGATCCTAGTGCTCTGCATTTCTGCATCCTACCACGTTATTTTCATTCTACCACCTCCTTCAAGTCTTTGAGCAAATGTTGCCTCTTCAATGAGGCTTACCCTATTTAAAAATGCTACCTCCCTCCATGCCCCCCACTCCCTTATGCAACTATAGAGCAATGGAACCATCCCCAGGATCGTATTTAGAGCATTATCTAGAGAACCAAAAGATCTGGCCATGTGAGTTAAACTGCTGGTATATTATTCCTATCCTGTCCTCTTCTCCCACTCCACAACCAAACACTGAAAGTAGGCAGAGCATCAGTAACTGACAGGACAAAACATTTACTCATATGACTTCTGCTTGTAACTTGGAAAAAAAAANGTTCTCAGGGCTGTAGATATTGTTCTTTAATCTGACACTGCTACCGTTTCTTCTGGAGCCCACTTCTAACACTAGGAGGGTGGAGCGAGCTCTGGGAGGGTGGGGGGTGAGTCGACCAGGCTCCAGGTCTTTGTTTTCTGTTTTCTGCCTGACATTGAGGATTTAAACCACAGTTCTCACCCAAGGTCTCTGCCCCGAACACTAGGTTCAGCCATATTATATGCTGGTCCCTCAGGCAGGGCTGTGAGTCACAGAGAGTGCGTCTGCGGCCTGAATTCTTCCCTCTTTCAGGACTGCAGTGAGCTCCCGACTGCATCCTGCCGCCCACATCTCTGCACGTCCCCGTTCCCTCCTCCCTTACTCACCAGATTTGCCCACCTTTAGGTGATTCGATGCACGGATCTCTCATACATGCTTCTGTGTTGCTTAAGTTATCCTTTGTTGAATTATAGCTGTTCAATTTGTTGTTACTTCCAGGGGAGATTTCAAGAAGCACTTCCCTCACGCCACCATTTCTGTGCCATAGATTTCCGGAACACTTTAAAACACACCTTCTCTCAACCATAGCTCACACACGACTGACTGCACCAACCAAGATGAAAGTTGTCTCACACTGTTGTTACTAAAGTTCAACATGCTGCTTTCTGTATTGAAGATCCTGCCCTTCCGTTGGATGGCACCCAGCAGCAGCATTCACTGTATTTTTTTTATCACAACAGAAAGGCTCCGTATCATACATCGCTTCTAGTACAGCAATTTCTGTCAAATAAAAACATTACAGTGTGTCCTCATCCACCTTATTCACCGGATCTGGCACCATGCAGCTTCTGGCTCTTCCCCAAAGTCAAAATAACCATGAAAGGTAATCATTTTAAATCGATTCAGAACATCAAGGAAGCCATGAAAGCACAATTATTAATAAAGACACTCGTGAAAGAGGACTTCCAGAACTGCTTCAGAAAGTAGCAAGAACAATGGGATAAGTGTGTTCGAAGTGAGGGGGAGTATTTTGAGGGACATTAATGGCAATGTGTCTTTTACCATAATAAATTTTTTATTTTTTATTTAAACATTCATATTGTTTTACCACACCTCGTATAATTAAAAAGGATGCAGCAATTAAGAACAAAGTGGTTATTGCCAAGATAATAAACACAACAGACTAAACAATATGCATTTAAAAGTGGAGAGGGAGGGCCTTTTGAGCATTTTGAGCCTTGCCTCTGCTCAGGGCTCGCTCCAAACTCTCTGGAGTGTACTTTCTCTCCTAATAATGCCTCCCTGACCCTGACCCTGGCCCTGACCCTGGCCCTGGCCCTGGGCCCCCTTGGGCCTTTTGAGCTTCCTTAGCTCGGCCCGCTCCAAACTCTTTGCAGTGTACTTTCTTTTCTAATAATGGCCCTTGAGCCATTTTTCTTCCACTTCTGCTTCTTTAAAATGNACAATGATAATACCAAAATGGGCCAGTGAAGCGACGTCCTCCACAACTAGACTGAAGAACAAAAAGGACAGCAACTTGTCTGTTCCCCTCCCCTCTCCATTATTCCCCAATGCTGTTCCTCTCCCCCAATTCCCCAATAAAATCTTTTAAAAAAATAATTAAAAAAAAATAAAGTTCACTGGATGGGCAAAACAGCATATTGAAAATTGCAGAAATAAGGGTTGGTGAGCCTGAGGCAGTTCAATACAAATTTGATAAATGGAAAAAACTTTTAATTAAAAAAAAAAAGGGGGGCGGCTGGTTAGCTCAGGTGGTTAGAGTGCACTGCTTGTAACACCAAGGTTGCGGGTTCAATTCCCACATGGGCCACAGAGCTGTGCCCTCCACAACGAGACTGAAGACAACTACTTGACTTTGAGGTGATGGGTCCTGGAAAAACACACTATTCCCCAATAAAATTTCTAAAAAAAAAAAAAAGGGGGCCTCAGTGACCTGTGAAAAACAGTGAGCAATCTAACAAATGTATAACTGGAGTCCCAGAGGGAAGAGGGTGAGAGAATAGGGCAAAAACATATTTTAAGAAAACAATGGGGCTGGCTGAGTGGTTAAGAGAGCAAGCTCTGAGCAAAAGGGTCATCAGTTCGATTGCCACATGGGCCAGAGAGCTGAGCCTGAGCTGAGCTGCCAACAGGTGGTAGGATGGCTCAGCTGGTGAGAGCACATGCTCCTAACAACAAGGTTGCCGGTTCGATTCCCGCATGGGATGGTGGGATACGCCCACCTGCAACTAAGACTTAACAACGCACCTTGAGCTGAGCTGCCTTGAGTTGCCGACGGGAGGCCAGAAGGCAACTGGACTTGGGGGCTGAGCTAGCGGCGCCCTCCACATCTAAGACTGAAGGACAACAACTTAGCTGTTCCCCTACCCTAATTCCCCAACAAAATCTTAAAAAAAAAAAAAAAGGCTGAAGACCTCATTACATACAGAACAACAACTCCATTAATGACATCTCACTTCTGACTAGAAACAAGAGCCAGAAGACAATATAATGTATCTTTAAAGTGTTGGAATGAGAAAACTGTCGACTCAGAATTCTATATGCACTGATATATCCTTCAAAAAAAGAGTATAAAGTTAATGTATTTTCAGATAAACCAAGCTGAGAAAAATTAATCTCCATTATACCAAACATTCTTTTAAAAGAAGCTCTTCAGCTTGAATGGAAAGACACCAGATGAAATTTCCCATTTCTAAAAGAAGAAATGAACAAGGCCAGAGACAGTAAAACAACTCAGTATATCCAAAATGAACTAATTCTATGCACTTTTGTTCCTAGCCAACCAACCAGAGACCGTCTCATCTTCCTCTTATATTCTTTCATCAGATCTTAATAAACAACATTACTATTTACTTAGTTGCCTAAATAAGAAATTTAGGCACCATCCTCAAATCTTCCTTCACTGCACACATCCACCAAATCCTACTGAGTTTCTCTCTTTAATCCCTTCAAATATGTCTACATTTCATAGCCACTACCTAATTCAGGCTCTCATTTTTTTGCCAGAATTACTCCAAAATTTTCCAAGCTATTTTTTTTCCTAATTCAATCTCCTCAAAATGCCAACTGCAGAGAGAGAGAAAGAGAGAGAGAGAGGAGAAGGGAAAAGGGGGGAGGGAGGAGAAGGGGGTAGAGAGGGGCACAGGGAGGGAATGTAGGAGGGAAAGGAAAGAAAGAAGGGAGAGAGAGGGAGCGGGGGAGGAGGGGAGAAAGAAAACCTTTTCCATACAATACGTGTTAACATGAAATCAAAACTATGGGGCATATACACAGAGAGCTTAAAAGATCTGTCCCCTGCTTATTTTTCCAGACTCTGATCTCTCCTATATCCATCTTACATACTACACTCTGCAGTTTCCAGACAGAACCATAACCTTTTTCACAGTCAGACAGACATTCCCACATCCTGTTCTCTCTGCCTAAAATCACTTTCCCTCAATCTTTACCCAACTAATTCACCATTAACTTTAGAACTCTGCTCAGGTAGCTTCACTTGAATTTCAAGCACCTTTACCTGATGCTTTTCCTCCCAAGTCTGAATAAAATAACCCTCAAGTATAACAGCCTGTGAATTTCATCCCACTGTATTCTGATGTTTCTAACAGGTCACTTTTCTTTTTCAAAATTTATGCAATAGAATTATGTTATTAAACTTACCTGACAAGTTGCTGACAAATCTGACATCCTGGAAGGCATCTATAAACAAGGTAAATTCATTACTTAAAAGGGGGAAAAAATTACACTACACTATATAAAATCCGCACACAAGTACAAAGAAAAATACGTTTAGTTTAATTTTTCAATAAACATCATAGGTCACTTTATACTTTGATATAGACATTCAAATAACTGTTTTAAAAACAGTTTCTATATTTTAAACAAAATTATGTGTGACATAAAGCCCAGAAACCATACAAAACTGATATTTAGTTCCATAAAAATGTATTTCTACATGACAAAAATGTCACTAATAAAGTCAAAAAACAAACTAAGGAAAAATATTTGTAGACAAAAGGTTACTTTCCATAATATATAGCTTCATCAAATCAATAGAAAAAAGGTAAATATATGAACATACATGTGAAAGGGCATTTGATTAGGAAATATATTTTTAAAATCCTTTAAGACAATATTTTGGCAAGAATATATAGAGAAAGGTAGTCTCATATCTGCTGGTGAAAGTATAAATCAATATAATCTTTATGAAGGGCAATTTGGCAATACTCATCAAAATAAAAGACACAGATTCATTCTCAAAATCCTATACAAAAAGTACAGGCTAAAAAATATATGTAGCATATGTGTAAAACAATTAAAGTATTACAGTATTTATCCTAATAGCAAAAAGAAAACCAGAAGAGCTAAAATCATTAAGGGACTACCAAAACAAATTACAATACAGACATACGAGGTGTGATAAAAAAATACAGTGTTTAAAAAAAAATTATTATAGTAAAAGACACAATGCCATTAATCCCCCTCAAAATACTGCCCCTCGCTTTGAACACACTTGTCTCATCAATCTTGCCACTTTTGGAAGCAGTTCTGGAAGTCCTCTTTCATGAGTGTCTTTAGTTGGGCTGTTGTGGCTGCCTCGATGTCCTTAATCATTTTGACTTGGGGGAAGAGCCAGAAGTCACATGGTGCCAGATTCCAAGAATAAGGTGGATGACAAAACACTGTAATGTTTTTATTTGACAAAATTACCATATACCAGAAGCGATGTGTGACATGAAGCGTCATGACGAAGGATGATTAATGGCACATTTTTTTTTAATCTTTTATTGGGGTGACAATGGTTAGTAAAATTACACAGGTTTCAAGCATACAATTCTATAATACATCATCTATATATAAAATTGTGTGCTCACACTCAGTCAGTTCTCTTTCCATCACCATATATTTGAATCCCTTTACCCTCTTCTACCATCCGCTGTACCCCATTACCCTCTGGTAACCACTAAACAGTTGTCTGAGTCTATGAGTTTTGTTTCTTTCTTTGTCTCGTTCTTTGTTGCTTTCAGTTTTATATCCCACGAGTGAAGTCATATGGTTCTCGATTTTCCTGTATTAGTTATTTCACTTGGCATAATATCAAGATCCATCCATGTTGCAGCAAATGGCAGTATTTCATCTTTTCTACGGTGCAGCAGTATTCCACTGTGTATACGTACCACTTCTTCCTTATTCAATCTATGGAAGGACACTTTGGTTGTTTCCATGTCTTGGCCACCGTAAATAAAGCTGCAATGAATATCGGAGTACATATTGGGTTGTCGGAAAAGTCATGACATATTTTTCTATGTTTTTTGTTGCAAAAATGCATCATGACCTTTCCGACAACCCAATATATCTTTATGGATGTTTTCAAATTTTTTGGGTAGATACCCAGAAGAGGGATTTCTGGGTGATATGGTAATTCTATTCTTAATTTTTTGAGGAACCTCCACACTGCCTTCCCAAGCAGCTGCACCAATCTACATTCCAACCAACAGTATATGATGATTCCTTTTGCTCCATAGCCTTTCCAACACTTATTGTCTTGTTGATGACAGCCATTCTAATAGGTGTGAGGTGACCTCCTGGTATACCCATTATTCTTATGTTGCTCTTTCTGATGGGAGTCAGAAAGTTCTTGTAGAGTTTTCTCATTTCTTTTTCATACTTAAGTCTCTCCCTTCTTCCATCTATGTCATTTCCAGATTTCTACCTTCGATGTCACTAATTCTTCCCTCCATCTGGTCAGCTCTATTACCTAACCTGCCTATTTCTTTTTTTTCTTTTCTTTTTTTAGCTGAGTCATCCTGCCACCTGTTGGCAGCTCAGCGGCAGCTCACCTCGGGCCGGGAATCGAACCAGCAACCCTGTTGCTCAGAGCTTGCACTCTTGAGTGAGCTCTTAACCAACTGAGCCACTCGGCCGGCCCCTAACCTGGCTATTTCATTCTTCATTTCTTTTATTGAGTTCTTCATCTCCCGAATTTCAATTTGGTTCTTTTTTTAAATTTCAATCTCTTTGGTGCAATATTCATTTTGTTCTTTGATTGTGTTTCTGAGTTCATTAAACTGCCTATCTGCGTTTTCTTGCATCTTGTTGAGTTTTTTCAGAACTGTAATCTTTTTTTAAAAAAAAAATTTTATTGGGGAATTGGGGGAGGGAACAGCGTTGGGGAATCGGGGAAGGGGAACAGACAAGTTGCTGTCCTTTTGGTGTTCAGTCTAATTGTGGAGGACGTCGCTTTACTGGCCCATGTTGGTATGTGATCATTGCGCTCTTCCCGGCTGAGGCAGATGGATCGCCGGCCACTGAACGGCCACTCACAGCAGCTCATGGCAGCTCACGCCGGCTTCCGGCTGCTCATGCTGGCTGCCAGCCACTCACGGTAGCTTACGGCAGCCCACTGCAGCCTACCCCATCGCCAGCAACTGATGGCAGCCCAGCTCTAGGTTGAGCCGTGTTCACCATCCCAGCTGCAGAGGGCGCAGCGTCACTGGCCCACGTGGGATCTTAACTGGTAGTGCTGCCGCTCAGAGCTCGCACTCCCAAGCCAACTCTCAACCAACGAGCCACTCAGCTGGCCCTCAGAACTGTAATCTTGAATGCTGTAATTTAAGTCACATATTTTCACATCTTTAACTTCATTTTCTGGAGAGTTTTCATTTGCTATCTGAGCTGACTTGTTACCTTGGTTATTCATGACAATTAATGAAGTATTATTTATCTTCATAGGCATCTACAGGAGTGGGTTCTGCAGGAGGTTGATATGAAAAGGTCTGTCTTTTGCTTTCCAGTAGGTATTGCTGGAATGTTTTATTTTGTCTCACATTGTAGCATTTTATTTTCTCTTGCACTATTCCAGCTTCTCACACAATGAAAGGTGGACTTCTCTGTGAGCACGTCATCTGGGTCTCAGGGCACAGCCTCCATGGGAGGATGTGGCGGGTGATAAAATTCTGAGCTTCTGAAATTCCAGTGCTGCCCCCCGCAGCCTGATGCAGAGCCCATGTGTCAGTGGCTCTGGATGCTCCCGCAGGGATCCACTGAGAAAGGTGGGAGCGAGGTGGGCTGTGAGAGGCTGCTGGTGTGTTTGTGGCTCCGAGCAATGGCGACTACCAGTCCACAGCTGTCTCACCTCTATAGCTTTTTCCCTATCACCGGAATTAGTCACGCTGTGTGTCTGCAGCTGCGGGACAGCTGCCCCNCATAGTTGACATTGTATGTTTTGTAAACCTTTTGCCAAAGTGCATATAATAACAGACAACTTTATTTAGTAGATACAGTGAGTTTACCAGGCACTATTCTAAATGGTTTATATACATTAACTTATTCTATGCTCACAGTAATCCTACGAGTTAGGTACTATTAGTATTCCCACATTACAGATGCAGACTTACTTAGACATAGAAGTTAGGGAATTGCCCAAAGTCGTACAGCTAATAGTTTGCCCTGATTCCAAAGCCTGACATTTTAAAAGAAACTTAGATAAGCATTTCAAAATCACTTGATTTGCTTTAAATAAGCCACCTCTTACATCTTTCTTGAAACCAATAAGTAGAAATACATGAATTACTTTCAAAGGAAAAACTCCTATGTTATCACTCTTGTATAAAATTTTCTGAACACGGAAAATAAAAAAAACAAAAGGGCTAACATACCTCTCCTAAAAGGTATAGTTAATTGCTACCTATTGCTAACCAGTATTAGCTTTTCCCCTTTTCTTTATCCTATTCTGCTCCTTAGCAATAGCCTGCCTAAAGTAACTCTATAGTTAATGGGAATTAGATCAATAGATTTCAAAATGACTGCTCTATAGCAGTTAAATCTAAATGCAGGCTTGCCAAACTTTGAATATTTGTTAGTTGAAACACTCATAAAAATGAATCACAAGTATATACTTTTCATAGCTTATGCCTTCCTAGTAAATGCAAGTAAAAATATTTTCACTGACATTTTTATTTAAGAGATAATTATATATGGAAAAAAACTGAATCCCAAGTAGCGTTTAACATAAGAAATGATCACAGCTCTCTTTAGAGAGATTTATCTGGCAGGGAGACAAGTAAAAGTAAACTAAAGCCACTACAGTCTTTTGGGGAGGGGCCATGGGGTCATGGATTAGTAAAGAAATCAATACAACACCTAATTTCCAAATTCTTTTTAAAATCATGCTTTATTGATTATTTACAGTATTTATTTATTTATTCATTTATTTATTTAAATTTATTGGGGAAAAGTGTGTTTTCCCCATACCCATCAGCTCCAAGTCAAGTAGTTGTTTCAATCCAGTTGTGGGGGGCACATCTTAGTGGCCCATGTGGGGATCAAACCGGCAATATTGGTGTTATGAGCACTGCGCTCTAACCAACTGAGCTAACTGGCTGCCCCTCCAAATTCTTTAGTGTAGCATAATGCCTTATAAAAAATAAACATTAGCAATTTTTAATATAGTCCCAGTTCCTCATCTTTTCTTCAAATTCACCTAAAAATTACTTCCAACAACATATGCAACTTATTAGGGCCTAAATGAACACCTTTCCCCCTAAACTGTTAACTTCCTTTAATACCCATAGCCCCACTTCTTAGGGAAGTATGGCTATGCTCTAAATGGGGGATCAGCAAATTTTCTTCCAGAAAAGGCCAGGTGCCAAATATTTTAGGTTTTCTGGACACATACAATCTCTGTCACATATTCTTTGTTCTGTTTTTTAACCCTTAAAAAATGTAAAAACCATT